CGCGGCCGCGTGTGTGGTTCGCCACCCTCACTGTTTGCACCCCGCCTCACCCTCTTTGTGTTCCGACACCGCTTGTTTCACAAGATAGAAATGTTGTTGTAATACAGTGGTCAACACTAATTGTGTGTGTGTGACTCGAGTTATTCGTGACTCACATATACTGGTTCGCACAGATAAAGAGCAATTATGTTAGATAAGTCGGCACAAAAAAATCCTGCGTTCATATCACTGAAGTAACCGAGAAGTTAATGCTCGATTTTTCATTGAATCCAACTTCCTTGCTCACATCTAGTTCTGATGCCGGCTTCTTGTAGACTTTCTTTCTCACCGCATTAAATCGGAATGTGATCCCGTACCATCAGTGTTATCGCGAAGATCCACACAGGCAATCGCCAACAATTTGTTGAGGAGTGCGATGAAAAGGATAGAATCACAATAACGAGCGAGCGAGTCGTGACGTAACACAAAACAAGTACAAACGATTTAACATGACGCTTGTGTAAATTACCAACCTTAACTTTATCGTTTGGGTTCGGATATATGCTTTGCGTTCATTATTACGTCACGAGTTAGGGGTACGTACAAGTTCAGTTAGTGTTATTTGAAAGGTGCAATAATTACATTGCTATCATATTCATATGATGCATTGGTCGTGTTAATGAAGCTTGAGCTGTTAGACCAGGAAGTACCGGATAGTCGTTTCGACTTGGTTGGGCCTCATTAACAGTGTCAATTGCTCGACCCAACTGGGAATTGCACTCGGGATCTCACGGTAGAACGTAAGCATACTACCCACTCGGACACCGGGCAGCTGATAAAACCGTTTTTCGTTTTACATAATTACGAAATAATACAACCCATCCTTTTGAGAATAATGCCAGCATCTCAGCACTAGCCTCTAAAGTTAGAACGTTTTTCTAACCTGATTTCTTTTTACATCATATTTCACACGCGTCTCAGTTCAGGCCGGGTGCCAAAGAAAAATCACGATACAGTGATCTTTACAACAAACGAAAAAGTTCATAATTTACTTGTTGGCGGGATACTTTCAGGTTGCCTTGGCCAAAGCACGTAAATTTTCTTGTCGAATACACATTCTGAGTCTTTAAACAGCCAAAACCTGACCCATAGGGGTACGGGGTGGTATGTGAAAACGGCAATCCATTGGAGACCGGTATCCAATTCATTGGATCATACGCCCTTTTGATGGGCTAAACCGTCCAAGGAACCCATCACATTTCGAAGCTCAGTCAAACCGGTAACTACTGGCACAATCAGGAAGGTGTGGTTGCGGTTCGTAGGATTTTTCAGGGTTAGTTGGGAATCAGGGGTTTTAGCCACCAGTGGTCCGCCAACCCATTTATAGCCCCGGATATCGGCTTTTCGTTCTCCCACTTTGGTCGGACAACACCTCCACGACAGTGAGTATGGCTTCCCCAGCAGAGGCTATTTGAGGCGCTTGGTCGTTTATGAGCGTTTCATGGGCTGTAAGGGAAGCATGATCAGCCACAACCCGATACAAAGAATTTGTTCATGGCCGACCAGATGAACAAATTCGACTGAATTAACACTGATTGTCATCAGCTAGCTAGACCAGAGTGGCATAATGAAAGTAGAGAAGGAATGAGTGCGTCAATACAGTGGTCATCAAGAGAATAAGGGACACATGAAATGGTACAAATACGCATCGCTTCTAATTGAGGGATTGTTGTATCCTTGGGGACATCCATTCAGTTTTTCATTTTCACTTGATGAACTGTTACTAGTAGTTTCATTAAACTACTCCGCTTTTTCCTGGACACATCTATCACGGATACGCAACCCGACATATCAGCATGTTCATCTGTCACCGATACCTTCAAATATGAATGTCATGCAAAGATTACTTGGCATACTTTCGGTGCGTTTCTATCAAGCTGCTCCACATTAATTAATACTGAGCAACCGGGTGTTCCTGTTGTTTTCATCCTTGACAATGCACCCGTTCATCTGACGGTTTTGGACACAGTTATATGCCAAGCACCAAATGCGATTTCTTCCACCATACCGTCTCCTTTTTAATCCGCTGAAAGAGGCCTTCATTCAATTCAAACAGGTAAACATTTTCAATTCTTTCATTCGCTTATTATATGGCACATCAAAAACTGGTTCACTGAAAATGCTGAAGCCATACAGGATGAGCAGAATGGTTTGATAATAGGAGAATATCGTTTCAACGTTCTCCAGTCAACATGTGGTAGAGCATACGATCACCACGCCTTCCTGTTTCTTAACCAAGCTTTACAACATCAACGTTTGTAGAAAATCAAAATGCTTCAACACTCGTTGATCTCAGAATATTCCAATACTTTTTACCTGACTTGCCTAGAGCGACATGACTGAAGTTTGTGCATCGAGGTTAAAGGGCTACGGGTCGTGGCTAAAGCATTGCGTGTTTTGGCTAAAGCAATACGCGTCAAGGCTAAAGGATTACAGGTTTTAGCTAATGGCCGACGGGAAAAGGTTTAGTTCTCTTTCTAGACACCTTGGCCACAGGGGAAGCGCAGGATGCGTTGTTTATCATGTCATTTCATGGTGGTTCGGTACAGGAAACGTCAGTGTTGCTCACTTTATGTAATTTTGAGGGTGCACATCTAGCCTTCACACAACTGAGTGTGAACTACGAGGCAGCAGTGTGTTGATGTATGGTTGTTGGTTCACCAGAAGATCATTTATCATCCGACTGGTTTGGTTCTAACCCAGTTGGTCATGTATCCCTTACGGCCTTTGAATCGAGTAGTAAATCCCATCCGCCCAATCAAGATTAGCTGTATTCGTCTGTCATGCTCCGTCTGACCAAGATTATCTCTCTCAATAACCTTAACCCTAGTTTAACTCACCTGTCGATCGGTTTACTGAGGTGTGGCCGCAGATGAGAGTCTGGTAAGTGACGGAGATCGATGAAGTGCATGATACTCCGGGGATAAACCAGTGCCAACTTAGAGGTGCTACTCTGAATTATCGCTTGTCCCCCCCCCCACGAGCGCCTGGCTTCATGTTTTTCCTGTAAGGTCCATATGAATTCACAGACTCCAGGGTCTATGTATTGCGTTCTTTAGCAGTTCTAATTTCATGAGAGCTCTTCGATTCCTCCACGTGCTAATTCATGTCAACGGGAAAGAAGTTTTGTGTTTTCAGTAATGGTCAATGATACATAAGCCCTGGTGTGGTTGAATTTTCTTGGTTAAAAGAATAGAAATCTTCGTGAAATACGTTGATGAATTAAATTGTTTACGCATACTTACCCGAGTGCAGCATTTGATATCTATCACGCCAGGAAAGTCCACGATGTAATTTTACGACCGAATGGCAGGTTTTTTTCATTGACAAAACTCATTCGGGTTCGATACAAACTCTCCAGATTAAGAATGTAACGGTTCCTCAGGAATACAGTCTAAGCCACTGTCGATCATCAAAGAGTACGGTTAGGGATATCGGTCACGTTCTATATTCTACTTCACTCACGTCATTTGTACCTTTCCAGCAAAACAAAAGCGACGCTTACTGATCAACCGTGTTCACTGCTCAGGGCTTCCAGTTATACTTGTGACCAAGAGTGTCGTCATCCCGAAGTATTGTATGCGTGTGATATGATGCCGCACACAGCAGAGCTATGGAGGCGTACTACGCCGTGCGAGTTTTCTGAGCCCTATCCGTTTAGTAGTATTTTGTGCTCTATATTTCTTTCGTATGCGGTCAAGCTTGTTGTGATAACTCCGCCCAAAAAGGCTGCGCACTCCATAGCATCCCTCCCAATATAATTATTGTTATCCTCTCTGGCATCATAAGAAGCTTGCATGAATGCCTGTTTTTATTCTTCACCGTATGTGACTATCGCACAATATCTCTTCACACTAAACGCCTTGGCCTATTTACACCATTTTATCATTTTTCCTCTCAGGTATCTGGTCCGACAAGTTGGGTGAGCGTCAGTTGTGGGTCGAACTACGTGTGGGACAACTGTTCAATCCACCTGAAAGGACATTTGTGAACCTGATCGAAAGCAGACTGACTACCGGGATTTAAACGCGCCAGTAGAAAAAATAGGACGGTTTTACAACAGCCTTTCCACCTCGTGCTGTCCCATGTTATCTTGTTCAATCCGAACCATCTGGCTTTCTCCTTTCGTGTTTTGATGGATTGACTAGCTCACCTAATACAAATCTCTTATTTATATTTCTAAGGTTTATTCAACTCTCATCTCATGATATCTTTTTACAAATAATGCCATTGGTGGTTGACTTCATTCAACCTCTTCTCTATTGTACGCGTACTGTCCATTATGTACACTTCATTCTTGTTTATTCCCCAGCGCATCCTTACTGCTTTCTTCCATGGATACATTTTTGTGTATGATTGCTGTGCCTTCCTCATGGGAGTGAACGATGACGACCACCACAGTGGGTCGTGTGAATTTCTCCCTTAGTTTTACCGTTCCTTATTTGTTTTCGTTCTTCAATGTTGCAGAATCAGATTTCCCGATCGTATTCCCTCCCCCTATTGGAGACACCTGACACTGGATTGTTCATTTGTTTGCTATGAGTTTGGGGTTTTGTTTAGAACTAAATTACATTATTTCACGCGTATGAGTGATTAGTATCCCGGGTACGTTTTTCTTTTCATTTTTACTTTTTAAATATACGATACAGTTTTCAGGAAGAGGGAAGCGGTCAATCTAAAGGTTACCATAAAACACTGTCGGGCAAATCAGGTGGCGGTGATGGAATTCGAATTCACGTCCTTCGGGATGATGATATGGTGATCTTGCATTCTCTCGTATTCGGTCAGGCTTGTTTTGATAATCCCGCTCGGAAAAACAGAGCACTCCTCAGCATCCCTCCCAGTATAATTACTGTTATCTTTTCTGGCATCATCAAAAGCTTGCATGAATGCCTGTTTTTATTCTCCACCGTGTGCGACTATCGCACAACATCTCTGCACACTAAACCCTTTGTCTTCTTAACATCTTTTTATCATAATTTGGTGACCTTCACCACCCCGCTCGTGTGATGTGCACAAAGGACAAATCCTTTCCTTTGGTCCAGATCAGTCACCCAACCCTCAAATTGTGGCTCCTTGAAGTAGCTCGCTTGTAGCGACAGCTACAGCGTGGCAACTGCCTGGAAAATCCGTTAAATCATCTGCGAGCATTCGGCTCCCTTTAATGACGTTAAAACGTAAGATTATGGCTAATAGACGTTCAGCAAGTCGTTCCTGTGGGTACACTTCCTTCCAATTGTCTATCGTAATTGGCAGTACTCTTCCTGTTAGTTTTCAATAATTGGAACGATGACCGAACGAAAATGGTTCGGCTAAGTTATTCAATGAAACACGTGTGCACAATCGATCGTAACTTCGTTCTCATCCTGAGAATGCATCAACCTGCGTTTCTTGTCTCAGTCTTGGTGCTTGTAGTACGTTTGGGCTCAAGAATGTGGCAACATGCCCCAAATAGCTTTCTCAACTCTCCGTTGCCCACTTGAAAACCTTTCATACACAATTATGAACCATGAAACGATAGACCAACGGGACGCGATTTTCCTCATTGCATTTCACCATATCTTGCCACTATTCAGATCCGTCATTGCAAGATCACGGGACGCGAACTCTGACCACCATCTGATACCCGCCTTTCAGCTAGTTCCATCGAGCCATTTTGTTAGTCTTAGGCCCGCCGATTATTCTCAGGTGTCCATCGATCCCACCGTAGCCCGACAGCTCATGCAGGTGGTACAGCGCTAGCACAACTCCTATTGAGACCGTTGAACAACGGCTTCAGTTCACGTAAACGCATGTGGCTGCTCGGGCCTGTACCACCTCTTACAAAGTTTCATCGAGCTGCCTGTCTCCCTTTTCGGTCGAATTCAGTATTACATCAAGCATTGCCAAGATCATGTTTCTCTGTTCTTTTATTTTTTACT